TTGTTAAACAAATACCATTGTTACAGATATGGGCTTTAGAAAGCTTGTAATTAATACGAAGTTGTTCTCCTGTAGCAGAGTATAATTTGAAAGTACTTTTTTCCAAATATTGAGTAGGAACAATACCTTTCATGATACAATTACGGTCTGCACCACTGTCAAGTAAAGCAATTATGTTAATAACAAAGTTTTTCCTCATAACTATTTTAATCGGGATATGATAGCTCTGAGGTTTTATGCTGGTTATAACAGTAATACCAGGAGCGTTAGATGTAGAAGTTTTATTCTGAGTAAGGCCTTAATTGGTAAGGCTATTCTCATCTTCCTCTGGATTCTTTTCAGGAAGTTCATGAGGTTTTTCTTTCTCAGAATTGTACTTAAAGGTATTGGCTTGTTTGAGTACTTGTTCTGTAAGAACATCAAGTTCGACTTTTCCAAGTCTCGATTTTATATCTCTGATTTCTCCTTTGAGTTCTGAGACTTCTTGTCTTAGATCAGAGATTGATGGTTCAGAAGGTTTATCAAAACAAGACATGATTTGCTTCATGCTGAAAGGTTCAATGACTTGTCTTGATTTGGGTCTATGATCTTGATGATTAAGGATGAGATTTTTGAATTCTAGAAGATAGCGTTTTCTAGAATCTTCATTATTGATGTGTTGGATTACATCATAAAGAGCTTCTTTAGAGCTATCAGATAGAACTTTAATCAAGATTGGTGTGTTGCCACACGTACAGTGTGCTTCAGAGCAGTGACATTCACTACCAGATTGACTTGAATCAGAATTATAGGCGATGTTGATATCTTCTTCATCGCTATACTTATTTGATGAGTAATTGGGAGAGAAATCTGAATTGGTTTATTCTAAGATAAAGAAAAGTTCCTTTTTGGTATCATCACTAATTTCTAGAAGATTGATTTTCTTCTTCTTTTTATCAGATTTGTATTCATTGGCCCTGTGACCGGTTTTTCCACAGTTCCAACAGACATCTTTGGCCTTTTTAGAAGACTTTGGAGGTCTTCGAAATTTGGATTTCTTTCTAGGAGAATCTTCGAATTTCTTCGGGCTTTACTACGATGAATCTTTATTGAAGATTTATAAGCTTTGTCTCTTTTAGAAGAGTGAGTAGAAGGGGCAGCAATAGGGGCGTATCTGAAGTCTTGACAGAAACTTCTTAATTCTCTTCTAGAGGAGTGCTGCTCTTTTTTGAGCTGATTTTTTAGTTTGATGTCTGTTCAGAGTTCAAGACCTAAGACATTGATAATGCTAACAAGATCTCCATAAGTCATTTGATATAAGGAATTCCTCACAATGATCTTGGATTTTTTACCTAACTTTGCTTGCGAATAAGGGTGGAAGTTCGCTGATAAAACATTCTTTCCAAAAATCTAGATGACAGTCAGGTCTAATTATGACCTTGTTGATAAATTTGTTTTTATACCAGATGAAGTCATCTAGGGTTGGACAAGATAAATTATTCAAGATTTGTAAACTTCTATCTTATAAGAGTTTGGGTTCTCCAATGAAGTGTTTTGCTATATGGTAGAGAAGTGTCGCACAAGCGTCTTCTCTAGTTATCTGAGAGGTAGTTTCCATGGCAGTACCTTTAGTTTTTACCACTGTTTCAATGGCTGTAGAGGAGTAAATGCCTTGTCTAACATTTTCAGTGAAATAATTATCCCACCAATGTTTTAACATGCCAGTAAATTCAGCTACGATCATAGAGGCAGCTTCCTTGTCAGAGGAGCCTCTTATTTTGTAAGCAGTGATACAAACACCCATTTCATGGAGTTTATGAAATATCTGATATTCTTCCAAAGCATCGATATTCTATTCTATTACGCTTCTTCCTTCATGAGAAGTAGAGGAAAGGAAATGATTTTCCTCATACTAAATATCAGGAAATGAGGGACGCTTATGATAATTTTTTTGATTATGATAGCGATCATTGGAAAGTTTGTGAAGAAGGGCTCTTTTTTCTTGGATAGTGGAAATTTTATTATCGGAGATATTTAAATTGGCTAGTTGTTCATTGATTTTATCATGAATGCTACCAGATACTTCAAAGGTATCTTTGAGTTTAGGGTAATTGTTTCTAGAAAATTCAGTAATTTTTAAACCTGGGTTTGGTTCAATATTCTGACTGGTGCTAGGATGTGAAAAAGTTGGTTTTCCACCAAAAAACGATTTTTCTTTGGAGTCCTCTATTTGCCTGGAGACAACATGAAGTAGTTGATTGGTATAGTTATTTTGTTCAATAATACGATCAACATCAGAAAAAATAACCATGCTTGTAGGTTTTTCGCTTTTGGTTTTAAAAGGAGAGGGAGAGATAATAGTGTTGGATACTGGGATTTTTATCCCTTCCAAAGGAGGAATGACAGATTCAACGACTTTGTTAGTAGTCGTGTACCATTTGTTGATAAGGACTTGGAGGGATTCCTTTTGACTGTCGAATTTGCCAGATATTTCAAATCATCTAAAGAAGTCGATTTCGCATCTAATTCTTTTCATATCTGCCATCCAACAATCTCTGAAGTTTTCTGTTTGTTTTAGAGAATATGTAGCCACATACCATTTTCTCTTTGTTTGATTGTCAGGATGAGTCCAGAGACGGTTAAGGGTCTCAGAATTTGGAGTAAAAGAATTACCTGACTTAATCATCTTAAGGTGTTCTGGTATTCTTGGAGGAGATTTCATATCGCTAGGGGTTGGACTAGCAGGATGATCTTGGTAGTAGACTTTGGGAATTGCATAGGAGAAATCTACTCCTGTAATTTTCCCTTTGTCGTTGTCTATAACAACTGGAGTTGCTGGAGTTGTGCCTTCCTCCGGGGTTTTTGAAGAAGGTACGGAAGGAACTGTAGACTTTCTTCTAAAGGAACTGGTTCTGCTCGATAGATTGGAACCTGAACCTAAAAATTTGAGATCTATATATCCATCAGGGAATTGAATTACTTGTTCAATCTGGGATTTCTCAAGATCGGAGGTGGAAGGTTGAGTTATGGCATCAAAATGCCATTCATCACTTGAGAGTATATCATTCCAATTAAGAAGTCTAGGTACAAAGACTGTGTTATGCTCGGTGTTTTCTTCCATAAGCATGGTGACTCCTTTGACACTTTCAACTTGAGCTTTGGGTGCCAGAATAGTGTTCATAAGTCTATAGTAGACTCGGTGGATGATAGCTATCTCACGAGTGTTAATTTTACTATTCATATTCTTGATTTTGACATTTAAAGTCAGAGTATCCATGACATTAGGGTCATTGATATCAACCGAGAAGTTAGGGTAGCAATTAAAGTATACCGGCCCATTGGCGAGGTTACTTTGAAGGACTCCTAAGAGAGAGTCATCGAAGTTCAATAGACGAGCATCTCTTAAAAGGACGCAAATGGGTACGTCTAAACCTTTTCTAAAGAGAGGTTTGACAGCAATTTGAACAAGACCTATATGCAAATAATTGTTTTAATGCTTGTATTTATTCAAATCTTGTTCAGAAAATAATTTAATAATTTCTAAAGAATTATTGATAGTAATAGTGGACTCACAGGTTTTAATATTATGCTTCTTAATAAAGCTGAAACTTCCTATTTCATAATTCTGTTTGAAAGGTTCATTGGGAATATTTTAATTTTGTAAATCATTTTCAAGCTTAGCAATCTTTGTTGCTTGAGAAGATAAATTAACATTATTCAAACATGCTGGTTTGAATTCATTTTGAGAAGAATACAGTCTAGGGGCTTATAAGGCTAAAATAACTATTCAGTACTTGTAATAGTAAAACAGTAAATATGCAAATATCTAACAGATACTGTACCTCAACATCATAGATCTAATAGCTTCTTAGTAGGGTCTTCTTAGATTTACTTCTATTTTTTTCTAAAGTCATCTTAGCGACGGGATCACCTAACAAGGTCTAAACGCCTACCTCGGCAACAACGACCTATCACTTTAAGGCTAGCCAACGTATGAACCGGATATTAATTGGTTACTTCATACTTGTAGAGAAAATAAATACCTCACACTAAACTTAGAAGCGTTTGTAGAACATGATATTGAAGAACAGTAGTAAGATAGATATAAACATAATTATGGTTTTAAAAATACAGTATTGAAAGTAATTTTGCCATGCCCTAGACAATATATGTATTTAGCTGCTCATGCTAAATACGTATACTGCCAACATGGCTCTGATACCAATTGAGACGGAACGAAGTACAGTATGTAAAAAGTAAAGACAATAAACGAAGTGCAGAGGGAGAAGGAAATAGCAGAAACAGATAGTGGTGTTACTGACCACATAGAGCTAGAAATGGAATCTCCACTAGCGCAACCCAGTAGTTCTAAAGTAGAGGAAGTGAAGGAGGTGCAAAATATTGATCAAGATGATAAAGTAATACACATGTGCAACAACAACCATATAGCATTGCAGCAGGCACAGAGAAGAGAGTGATCAACCGACCGCAAAGGTTTGCAAAGATAGTTGATGAGAATCTTCTTGAATATACGAATTCTGTGGGATTTTCTTTGGCAGTTGTAGAGACCGTTGACGTTTTTGAGTGTAATAGCTATCCATAAGTTATTTCGAGTACATAAGGAAATCAACGATTTTGTGCTATAGTTGAAGAGATGGGGTCTCTTGACAAGTTTTGTAGCAACCCCTTTGGAAGGGTGCTACTTACGAAACAAATCTAATTTACTACTAACAACATTAAGAAGATATTAATTAAAAAATATATTCATAATAATTTAGTAGCAGAAATAGGCCCATGCGATGAGGTCCAAAGTGCAATATTTTTATTTTTGAAAATACTCTTCATAATATTTTTTTAAAAAATGAAATACAATGTCAAAATATCAATATAAGGTGATATAACCTTTTTTTTCATTACTCAACACGTTAAAGCAACTTCCTAACAAAATTATACTTTCATTCAACATTACTACAAGTTTGTATTGTACATAAATTTCAAACTACCGAATATACAAAGGAAAACTAGTTTTCTCCTTTGTACATATTTACAAGACAAAGTGTAAATTCAGCATATTACAAGACTTAAGTTATTAACACATCCTAAAATAGCAAAATAAGTTACTAAATTCAAGTTACAAGATTTTGGTCTTAAAATCCAACAAGCCTCCAAATAACATACATAAGTGTGACATATATATCATGTACAAATCCCAAAACTATACAAAACCATAGTGCATATGCAAATGCGATCTCCATAAGTTCTCCCAAAAAGACTAATTCATACGGCCGTCTTCAAATTTTATCCCGTACATTACCTACGATAGAAAATAACTATCGCTAAGCATAAAGCTTAGTGGTGTATAAACTTTAGGCTTGTAGCCATTAACTTCTCCAATTCCCATTTTCAGTCATAGGTAACTCAAATGAAACATAATTTAAAACAAGTGAACAAATATATCAAAAGTATCAAATATCAACCCTTGAAGTGTTTCCAAATATCAATAACAATGTTCAAGATTCAAGAGTTGAGGAAGCGTATACTATCAATCCAAGAGAGTTTGTCAAATATTCATTTTTCGCCCAATATGTACGTCATGCCATCACACTAAGCAAAATCAGATATCAAGATGGTCAGAAATTCCAAATCAAGTAGGGTCACAACCCAATAGTCAAGAGAATCAAGGACCATATTAAAAAATGGCTTTCTAGTTCGTACTTAACACGAACAAGTTCCATAATTTAAGACGAACTACAAATCCAAAGTCAAGATGGAAAAAGATCTGAATCAAGAGGCATTTCAAGATGAGTGACAAAGTCACTGCCACAAGAAATAAAAATTCCCAACAATAATGCAAAACGATCAAGCAATCCGTACGAGTGGGCGATTTAGCGAATATCTTACAATACTTGATATAACGCGAATACAATGATATAAATTAAAGACAAGAAAAAAATAAAATATCAGGTCATTTCAAAATATTCTAGTAAGTAAAAAGAGTACAAAGTTTATACACAAACCTTGGTGTTTTATCACAAAACAGTTCAACCACAACTTGAGGACGTTCGAATCGTCTACGCCATAGACAAACCAAATCCGTCCACATCCTCAAATACTTCCCCTCAGATTTTACAAGGGTATATATACCTTAAATACAAAATCAAATATCTATATAAGTTCAGTGATTTAACATGCCAAACTAAACATGATATTGGTGAAAATTACCCAAAATATTTTAAACAGAAATTCTGGACAGTATCATTATCTCATGTTGTGACTCAGATTTGAAGATGACAAAGGACAAACTAGACTGTGTGGTCTTCTTTATAGTTGTAGATATGTGTCTTAGCATTTCAGAACATCTTGAATCACCCCCATATCATTTTTGTACAAAAGAGTTATGCTAACATTACTAACAGTAGTATAGGGAGGGTTTATAAAACAGAAAATCTGGGCAGCACCTGCCCTGTACTTCATCACCTATTTTCGGGTAAATAAAAGACAAACCAGATTTTGGTTCCTTCATAAAGGTTATAAATCTATGAAATAGATTTCCAGAAAGTCTTGGTTCACTTAAAACGGATATCTATATAAAAAGATATGATAAAAACACTAATAGTTGTCTAGTGTAAAAAACAGGTTTAGTGACTTACCACAAAAGAGAGGAGCAACTTGAGCTTCACCAAGAACGAATTTTGCTGATTGGTTTAGCGAAAATTTATGATGGTTTTCATGGATTTTTTCAGGTGATAAGAAGGAGAGAGAGATGGGATTTTCTTTGGCATTAAGGACTGAAAATGAGATGAGGTTATGAAAAAGCATGTCACAAAAGAAATATAAAAACTTTGGATAAATATGAAAAATGTGGCTGCCCAACCTACTAAATATCTTTAGATAAATACAAAAGGGTGGAAGCCCAAAACCTTAAGTATATAATGTATTTAATAATAAATCATCAAAATAATATTAAGTGTTACACATAGCAACATCATGGAACTTCTTTGTCAATATTAACACAACCTAAAGTAAGGAATTTTCATATATTGTAAATTTCACGTTTTGGAAGTGCGAAGTAAAATATCTCCTCATTATAAAGATGCTCAATCGAGAATGCAAATATTAATAAAAATTTGGGGTGTTACAACTCTCCTCCCCTTAAATAAATTTTGTCCCGAAATTTACCTTGTACTAGTCCCTAAACAAATGTGGATATTGAACTCGCATATCCTCTTCTTGCTCTCAGGTAGCTTCTTCGCCAAAATGATTTTTCTAAAGAACTTTCACTAAGGGGATGCTCTTGTTTCTATGCTCTTTTAACTCACGCGCTAAGATTTGGATTGGTTCTTCTCCATATGTCAAATCAGGATTGACCTCAATAGATTCAATAGGAAGAACATGAGATGGATATGAGCGGTATCTTCTCAGCATAGAAACATGGAAGACGTTGTGGATCTTCTCTAACTCTGGTGGAAGAGCTAGTTTATAAGCAACTGGGCCAACTCTCTCAAGCACTTCATAAGGTCCAATAAATCGTGGACTAAGTTTACCTTTTTGGCCAAATCTCATAATCTTCTTCTATGGAGAAACTTTTAAAAATACCTTATCACCCGTTTTATACTCAATTTCACGCCTCTTAAGATTAGAATCGGACTTTTGTCTGTCTGAGGCAATTTTTAAGCGATCCTTGAAGATTTTTACCTTATTTTCAGTTTGTCGCATACTCAGGACCCACCAATTTTCTTTCACCAACCTCGTTTCAATAAAGAGGCGTTCTACATTTTCTCACATATAAAGCTTCATAAGGAGGCATGCCTATACTTGATTGTTAGCTATTATTGTAAGCAAATTCTACCAGGGCTAAGTGTTTGTCCCAACTACCCTCAAACTCAATAATGCAGGCTCGAAGCATATCCTCATTTGTATTACCCTCTCAGACTGGCCGTTTGTTTGTGGATGGAAAACAATACTAAAATTAAACCTAGTACCCAAAGCTTCTTGCAAGCTAGACCAAAATCTGGATGTATACCTTGGATCTCTGTCAGACACAATAGAAACAGAGATTCCATGCAGCCTCACAATCTCATTAATGTATAATTCTGCCAAACGTTCTAGTGAGTAGTCCATTCTGATTGCCAAGAAATGAGCACTCTTAGTTAGTCTATTTACAATGACCCAAATTGCATCATGATTCCTTTGAGTGTGTGGAAGTCCAAAAACAAAGTCCATCGTTATCTTTTCCCATTTCCACTCAGGTATTGACAAGGGTTGCAGTAGACCAGTTGGGACTTGATGCTCAACTTTTATTTATTGACATACCAAGCATTTAGAAATGAACTCTACGATGTCTTTCTTCATACCACTCCACCAGTAGTGCTCTTTGATGGCCCGATACATTTTAATACCTCCAGGATGCATTGCATAAGGTGAACTATGTGCTTCAATCAAGATCTGCTTCCTCAATTCATCATCATTAGGAACACTCAACCTATTTTTATAAAATAAGGTATCATCTTTCTTCAATGCAAAATCTGATTCTCTTCCATTTTGGACTTCTTCAACCCATTTCACAAGCTTCTCATCTAACTTATGTGCTTCTTGGACATGCTCAAGTAAGACTGGCTTAACTTGAAAATTAGCACTGATAGAACCATTAGAATTAAATGAAAGACAAGTATTCATGGCTCTTAATTCAAGAAGCAAAGGCAAAGGACTTAGAGTTAAACTTGCAAGGGAATTGCGACTCAATGCATATATAACCACATTGGCTTTACCAGGATGATAATCAATCGTGCAATCATAATCTTTGATGAGTTAAATCCATCTAGGTTGTCTCAAGTTTAACTCTTTTTGTGTACCCAAGTACTTAAAACTCTTGTGATTAGTAAATATATGACATTTCTCCCCGTACAAGTAATGCCTACAAATTTTTAAGGCAAAAACAATGGCAGCAAGTTCAAGATCGTGAGTGGGATAATTCAACTCATGCAATTTCAACTTTCGAGAGGCATACGCAATTACTTTCCATTCTTGCATCAAAACACAACCCAAGCCACGGCGAGATGCATCACTGTATACCACATAATCTTTCCATTCAGCTGGCAAAGAAAGTATTGGAGCTTGTATCAACAAGGATTTGAGCTTTTCAAAGCTCTCTTGACACTTGTCATCCCACACAATTTTGGCGTTTTTCCCCAAAAGTTTGGTCAAAGGAGAAGCTATAATAGAGAACCCCTTCACGAACCTCCTATAATATCTTGCTAAACCCAAGAAACTTCTAATCTTAGTTGGAGTTTTAGGAGGTTTCCAATCAAAAATAGCTTGAATCTTACTAGGATCAACCTTCACACCTTCAGCTGATACAATATGCCCCAAAAATGCCACTCCACTCAGCAAAATTCACATTTGGAATGCTTCGCGTAGAGTTGCCTCTCTTTCAGAATTTGCATGAAAATCCAGAGATGCTTATCATGATCTTCTCTATTCATGGAATAGACTAAAATATTGTCAATAAAGACCACCACAAATTGATCAAGGTAAGGCTTAAATACACAGTTCATTAGATCCATAAATGCAGGAGGAGCATTTGTTAAACCAAATGGCATTACCAAAAATTCATAATGGCCATACCTGGTCCTAAAAGTAGTTTTAGGAATATCTTGCTCCCTCACGCGCAACTGATAATATCTAGACCTCAAGTCAATTTTTGAGAACAAGATGGCACCCTTTAGTTGGTCAAGCAAGTCATCGATTCTAGGCAGTGGGTATTTGTTCTTGATTGTTATCTTTTTCAGCTGTCGGTAATCAATGCAAAGCCTAAGAGTGCCATCTTTCTTTTTCACAAATAAAATAGGAGCTCTCCAAGGCGAAATACTGGGACGGATAAAACCTTTCTCAAGAAGTTCTTGCAATTGAGCCTTCAACTCTTTTAATTCAGCTGGAGCCATTATATAAGGAGTGATAGAAATAGGATTAGTTCCAGGGAAAAGCTCTATAGGAAATTCAATCCCCCTTTCTGGAGGCAACCCAGGAAGACCATCAGGAAATACATCAGGAAAGTCGCACACGGTAGGTATGTCCTTAAGACTTGGACTCCCCAATCGTGTATCGACTATATGAGCAAGATAGGCATCACAACCTTGACAAATCATCTTCCTTGCCAAGACCGCAAAAAAAATATTAGATGTCAATGATCTTTATTCTTGAACTACTATGTGTGAATATGCAGGAGTTCTAAAAGTTACTTGCTTCAACCTACAATCAACCAATGCATGGTACCTATGGAGCCAATCCATACCAACAATAACATCATGGTCTTGGAAGGGCATTTCAAGCAAGTCTGCAGGTAGACCAGATTTTGAATCATGAATGGACAATCTCGGTAAATCCTGTTAACAACAGCTTGATGACCTAATGGACTCAAGCACATCAAAGTCAAGTCTCACAGATTTAACAGTATCAGGAAATGCAATTGATGAGCAAACATAAGAATGCGAAGATCCAGGATCAAATAATGTAACAACAGATATGCCAAATAAGTGAAATTTACCAGCAACCACGTCCGGGCCATCTTGGTCATTCCTCTATCTCATAGCATAGACTCGTGTAGTAGATCTCGATCCATTAGCCTGATTAGCTCCACCCGAACCCGTTGCTTGCACATTTTTAGATCTTGGGCCGTTATTAGCTTGACAATGAGTAGTGATAGGCTTTTGAACTGAGCCCTCTATATGTGCTTGACAAGCACCAGAAGCTCTTCTCTAGGCACCATAGTGATTCTTCCTGCACTGTGCACAGGTAGGTGTATAAGTTTTGCCTTGGACATAACTTGGAGTACCAATAGAGAAATTTGGCTTATTCTGCTTATGATATGATGACTTTTGTGCACTTTCAGTCTTGAAATAGTCAAACTTTCCCTTCTTGGATGGACCGCCATAACCTGAATTACCCTTGCTAAACCTATTTTTTCTCCTACTAGCTTCTTCATTGTCAATTCTTTCCCAAGTAAGAGCAGTTAAAATTAGCTTGAAAAAATCCTCAAGTTGCAAGATTGCCATAGGCTTTCGAATGTAACCATTCAAACCTTCTTCAAACCTTCTGCACTTGTCTCTTTCACCATCAATAATACCTCCAGCATAGCGAGAAAGCCTGAGAAATTTTTGTTGATACTCTGCAATAGACATACTCCCTTGTCTTAAATTCAGAAACTCTTTTTTCTTAGCATCACAATAGACAGGGGGACATATTTCGCACGAAATGCTTTCACAAAGTCATCCCAAATCAGCACCAGAGGTTTTGCTTTTGCATTTGGCACACTTACCCACCAATCATAGGCATCTTTTTGTAAAAGAGAGATAACATACTTAAATTTGACAGCATTAGTACACTCTAGTTGTTTAAAGACCCTCTCCATGCGCTCGAGCCATTGTTCAGCTACCGTGGGATCAATAGTGCCTTCAAATTCAACTCCACTCATTTTCCTCATCTTCTCAAAATTCACTTCACTAGGTTCTGACATTGTCTCAGCCAAGTGACGAAAGAACTCAGCCATCTGTTGAAATGGAGGAGTCATAATAGGAGTATTATGACCCATTGCTCTTGGATTATTGCCCACTTCATTTTCACTAAAATGGTGATGATTTAGGTCAGGCAAGGGTACCTCATCTCCTTCCTGGAGGTGAGGTGGAGCATTATAATGGGCCTTACTTTCATCAACGTATTCAATAGCTCTATTCGAAGAAGAGGCCATATTAAATTCCAATAAAAGATAAGATCACACTGCATTAAAGACATGTACTTGATGCGTATGCACAATGAATACATCAAATTACATTAAACAAGTATGCAAAAATTTATAATCTTCAAGTCATTTTCAAGAAAGAAAATAACAACAATATTAGGTACGATCACAACAAAAATCCTAGAATCACAAACCTAGGCTCTGATACCAAAACTTGTAGCAACCCCTTTGGAAGAGTGCTACTTACGAAACAAATCTAATTTACTACTTACAATATTAAGAAGATATTAATTAAAAATATATATTCATAATAATTTAGTAGCAAAAATAGTCCCATGCGATGAGGTCCAAAGTGTAATATTTTTATTTTTGAAAATACTCTTCATAATCCTTTTTAAAAATAAAATACAATGTCAAAATATCAACATAAGGTGATATAACCCTTTTTTGAATACTCAACACGTTAAAGCAACTTCCTAACAAAATTATACTTTCATTCAACATCACTACAAGTTTGTATTGTACATAAATTTCAAACTATCGGGTATACAAAGGAAAGCTAGTTTTCTTCTTTGTACATATTTACAAGACAAAGTGTAAATTCAGCATATTACAAGACTTAAGTTATTAACCCACCCTAAAATAGCAAAATAAGTTACTAAATTCAAGTTACAAGATGGTCTTAAGATCCAACAAGCCTCCAAATAACATACATAAGTGTGACATATATATTATGTACAAGTCCCAAAACTATACAAAACCATGGTGCATATGAAAATGTGATCTCCATAAGTGCTCCCAAAAAGACTAATTCATAAGGCCATCTTCAAATTTCATCCCGTACATTACCTACGATAGAAAATAACTATCGCTAAACATAAAGCTTAGTGGTGTATAAACTTTAGGCTTGTAGCCATTAACTTCTCCAATTCTCATTTTCAGTAATAGGTGGCTCAAATGAAACATAATTTAAAACAAGTGAACAAATATATCAAAAGTATCAAATATCAACCCTTGAAGTGTTTTCAAATATCAATAACAATGTTCAAGATTCAAGAGTTGAGCGTATACTATCAATCCAAGAGAGTTTGTCAAATATCTATTTTTTCCCCAATATGTACGTCATGCCATCACACTAAGTAAAATCAGATATCAAGATGGACCGAAACCCCAAATAAAGTAGGGTCAAAACCTAATAGTCAAGATAATCAAGAACCATATTAAAAAATGGCTTTCTAGTTCGTACTTAACACAGACAAGTTCAACAATTTAAGACGAACTACAAATCCAAAGTCAAGATGGCAAAAGATCTGAATCAAGAAGCATGCCAAGATGAGTGACAAAGTCACTGCCACAAGAAGGACAAAGTCCCAACAAGAATACAAAACGATCAAGCAATTCGTACGAGTGGGCGATTTAGCGAATATATTACAACACTTGATATAACACGAATACAACGATATAAATTGAAGATAAGAAAAAAAATAAAATATCAGGTTATTTCAAAATATTTCAGTAAGTAAAAAGAGTACAAAGTTTATATACAAACCTTGGTGTTTTACCACAAAATAGTTCAATCACAACTTGAGGACGTTCGAATCATCTACGCCATAGACAAACCAAATCCGTCCACTTCCTCAAATATTTCCCCTTAGATTTTACAAGAGTATATATACCTTAAATACATAATCACATATCTATATAAGTTCAGTGATTTAAAAAGTCAAACTAAACATGATATTAGTGAAAATTACCCAAAATGTTTGAAACAGAAATTTTGGACAGTATCAATATCTCGTGTTGTGACTCAGATTTGAAGATGAAAAAGGACAAACTAGATTGTGTGATCTTCTTTTCAGTTGTAGATATGTATCTTAGCGTTTCAGAACATCTTGAATCGCCCTCATGTCAATTTTGTACAAAAAGTTATGCTAACATTACTAACAATAGTACAGGGAGGGTTTATAAAACAGCAAATCTGGGCAGTACCTGCCTTGTACTGCATCACATGTACTTCATCAGCACATGCCCTGCCCTGTACTTCATCACCTATTTTCGGGTAAATAAAAGACAAATCAGGTTTGGTTCCTTCATAAAGGTTATAGATCTATGAAATAGCTTTCCATAAAGTCTTGGATCACTTAAAACGGATCTCTATATAAAAAGATATGAAGAAAATACTAATAGTTGTCTAGTGTAAAAATGAGTTTAGTAACTTACCACAAAAAAGAGGAGCAACTCGAGCTTCACCAAGAACGAATTTTGCTGGTTGGTTCAGTGAAAATTTATGATGGTTTTCATGGGTTTTTTCAGGTGATAAGAAGGAGAGAGAGATGCGATTTTCTTCTTTGGCATTAAGAACTGAAAATGAGATGAGGTTATGAAAAAGCATGTCACAAGAAATATAAAAACTTTGGATAAAGTAAGGATTAATTGTACGTCCAAATGGCTTCCGCAGTCGGAGATTGGGAGTTAAAGCATTGAATTATTCTTGTTTGTTATTTTTGTTTTGCACCCTTAAATCTTAATGTATATCATCTGTATTATATATAATTGCTTTTCCTAGTAAAACAATGAAATCATTCTCCCTTTTAATTCTTCTGAAGGCAAAATAGGAAAAATACAAATAAAAGACAAAGAAAGATATGACGTAAAACAAATTAAATACAACGAGTTCAAGATCTTTGCATATACAATGTACTAATATACTAGTTTTTTTCAACCCTTTCGGGCGAAACAACAGAAATTTAAAATAATATAATTAGAAGAGATAGGAACAAGATCAATAAACCATTACCTTTACCTATTCTACTTTAATTTCTATGCATGTTCTGTTAATGTAAAAATTTCACAAGGCACCCTTTTTAGTCGCCCATATTTAATTTGTATTTATTTTTGGAAAAAAAGTTTAACTGATACTCAATCCTAAAAGAACTCTAAAATTCAGATCCGCTGCTGCTGCTTCTTCTTTTTCTTTGCACAGTTGCATCGCAGCTTTTACATGGCGGAAATAGTGATAGTGTTATGGTGGTTGTTTCAATTAGTTTTGGAGATAAAAGTGTGTTCCTTTGGTGGCTGTTTGGGTGGCTCTCATGACTGTTTAATGTAGCTTTTAGTGGAGGAGACTATCGGCGTTAATGAAGGTTTAAGAGAACTACTGTCGTTGTGGCTGTATTGGGTGGTTTGTGGAGGTTTTATGGCTGATTTTAGAGTTCAAAACATGAGAGGAAAGAAGTTAGAGTTCAAAACATGAGAGGAAAGAAGAGCTAAACTTCAGGTCCGATTCCGAAGTTGCACTTTGAAATGATAAGGTCCGATTCCGAAGTTGTACTTTGAAATGATAAGAACTTCAGATCTCCGGTTCTGAAGTTGCACTTTGAAACAACTAAAACTTTATATCAGATTCTAAAGTTACACTTTGAACTGATAAGAATTCACATTTTCGATTCTAAAGTTGCACTTTGAAATAATTAAACTTCAGATCTTAATCTGAGCTATAAATTTGTATCTTCATTTGTGAATTCTGAAGTGATCACAAGCGAATTCTGAAGTGTGTTATAAAGTGGGTAAATTTGCAAAAAAAAAAAAAAAAAAAAAACTTCGGGTACCACTTAAATGGTGGCCCTAAAATCGGTTATTTGTGCACTTCCCTGAAAACCAAATGATTCAGGTATAAAAATTATTAGCGTAAATAAGTTAAATTCTTATCATTTCATTGCGGACAGGAAATTAAATTAGGATATTTATATAAATAGCCGACAAGATTTCTTATTTACTTTTTTTAATCGGTGTCCGTATAAATTATATACATATTATATATAATATTATTTATATATATATATATATAAACGGTAGGTTGGACCATGACGGCTATTTATTATAAGTACCAAGGCCTCAAAATATATTATGAAAATACAGACAACCAATTAACTCATCGCACCAGCTGCAATTCCAAACCAATAAGATAGGATGAGTACAAGATTAATGTCAATAATTTGTGGGCTAAATTAAAGGTCCTCTTTTGAGTAGTCAAATTAACGTGATTAAGAAGTTGAAACGTAATGGACGCTTGTCGGCTCCTTTGAACATCAATAATTTTTCTCTTTTTTGGTACATATTTACCCTTTTAGAGTTATTGAAGTTACCTTCTACTTTTATTTGTCTGTTTTTCCTTGTTTTATTGTTTCAAGATATGGACACAGTTGGTAGACAGTCAACACATGCTTTTAACTTTTGCACCTTCAATTATTAATTATAAGGGATAAACGAAAGGATATCTTGTATACTTTGACATTTTCAATTGAAGTATGGAGAATGGAATGAAAAGATTTTGATAAGAAATAAATGGTTGTATCTTGTACGTATCTGTTTATGTGCTGTGCTGAGCATATATAAGCTGCAATTTAGAAACAGATTGAACATGTTTCCCTAGTTTGACAGGTTTAAAAACTTGGATCTCAAACTCTCAAAATATCCTTTTTTTGTACATTTATGATTTATGTTTGCCTTTAAATACAGTAACATACAATTTACTACTATTTCCTCGATCATAATTTCAGAAAGATTGATTATTCATCTACTATTCATCGTAATATCTTCATCTTACGAAATGTACGGTTTTACGTAACATTTGAATGAAATATAATAGAAATAACTTTGACGACTTTAGTTTATTGGTCTCATATCATTTTTAAATAATATTTAAGCATTAATTAATAGTAACTAGTGTTAGGGAAAATGTATTCCGTCTAAGTAAAAAAAGTTTAGCATATGAGAGGAAATTTACTTGACGTGAATGATGTTAAAAAAAGAATAATTAATAGTCGAAGATACATTATCCCTTGATTCCGTGAAGAAGATTTTTGCGACTTTTAAATGTGTAACAAAAGAAAAGAAAAAGGTAACGAAAAAGATTAAATAGTATAATAAAGGTATATCTGTTTGGTAAACACTAAATCGAGGTATCTTTGAATATTTATGCATAAAATCATGAGATAATTCTGTGATTGATTTTCACCGTAAATGGCGATAACTGTTTAGCTTCTTTCACAAAATTTGGACCCACTGAATCAGACATTTATCACAAACATTCTTTTTTGAAAATCTTTTTTCCAATTACATGGAGAGTAAAAAAAAAAAGCCGGCCAGATTTTTTTAATTTTATTTTTATCTATCTATACTTACTATATTAAAATCACGAATGCCCTTAGTGAGATGTCGTTCGCTTTTTTTATCCTTTAAAAACAGATTTTACACTGGACCAAATAGTAATTTAAGTTATTATCCTAATATTTTGGACTTTAAAGTTAGCTGAAATTTTGGTAATCAAAATCCTTCTTTATTTAAATTATGTAAAAATCCTAATAGTTAGAAATTTAAACTCAAATCAAACTTTACTTATATAGACTACTAACGAAAGCTAGGATGGCAAAGAGAAAAAGATATAAAATAATTTTAACTAAAAGGTTTTATAGATAAGCCTTTTAACTTAT